ATGTATTTGTATACATAGACAAGTTACATAAACATTTTTCTGAAAAAATAAACAAAAGCTTTCAAAATTTAATCATAATATTTTTATTTATCTTAAGAATTCGAAACATCGTTTTTTAATTTTTGAATCTTAATTTTTTTTAATCATTTCACGGAATATTAATTTATTTTCTTCTTTTTTCTGTTTATTTGTTTATAGTATTATACAGCAGTACAGAAATCAAAATAAATTCCTTTTTAGAAAAGTTTTTAAAATGTTTCCCAGAAGCTTACTTAATGCGTTGATTGAATACAGTGGACGGGAAAGAAAGAAAAAAACATTTCTTTTTTTTAAAATCATGATCACCCTGGTCTACGATATTATTTTACTTGGGTATTGTATTGAATCTTCATCAAGCAGTGACACTGGACTCCTATTTGCTACCAGCATTTTGTCCAATCAAAAAGCTTCCTCGCTATATTTCAATTTTGCCTACTGTCCTACAATCCAACTGCTAATTGAGATTAATGAATTGTAAAGAAACCTGCCTCTGATGCAAACTCACCAATCATGGATAATAACACAGTTCGTAATCACACTTTCTAGTAAACGTCTGGCACAAGGCGTGTAAATGGAAAAAATGATTTTCACTTCTCCATCTTACGCGGTTAAAGTTAGTTGATGATGGTGATTATTGTTGAGTCGTTTGTCCCCTTGAACGAAACTATCGTTTTCTTAGGTGAAAACAAATGATTGTTCTTTGAACTCTTTTGTTTTGTTTTAGAGTTGATTTCGGAGATTCGTAAATAATATGCTACATAAAGTTTATTTTATTTTATTTTATTTTATTTTATTTTATTTTATTTTATTTTATTTTATTTATCTTTTATTTTATTTATTAATTTTTTAATTTATTTTACTTATTTATTTTGTATTTTATGATTCTATTAAAATTCTACTAAGGTCTATTGGTAATCTTAAGTAATTTTATTTAGCAATAATTTTTTTTACTAACATATCAATTAAAGGCAGATTATTATCACAAATTCAGTGAGTTCACATAATGTAATTTAATATTTTCGCTTACCAAACTGGCTGTAATCTTAAATACAATTAGTGCATGCATCATATTGTGTATGAAGCTGATAGTTAAGTTTTACTCTTTTAGCTTCAAACTCTTAATTTAGAAATCAAAAACATAATTCGCGATCGCAACGAACTATAGGCAGTGGCGTAGCTAGGTAACCAAGGGCCCTGGGGCAAATTAAAAATGGGGCCCCTCTGCTATGTAAACTGATTAGGTTTTATCAAATAAAAATATGAAATATACAAATACTTTAAAAATGCTAAGCTACTTAAGCTCTTTTTTGTGCACTGCAGGGCAGGTAATAAAAATATTAAACAGTAACAACATATATTACAATTAATACTTGATGTAGGTTTGGCTAATAAAGCGAAATGGAGAAGATTCAAGGGTTTATTATATAAAGGTCGGGCCTACCAACTGACTAAATAACAATTATATTTTTTTCCTAGCCTTAGTTTTTGCAAAAGTATCAATGACTTCGTTTAAATCCAGGCTTGATGCGGTTTTGTTTTCAATTGCTATTAGCGATAAATGTCGGAGTCGAGTTTGGCCCATATTATTTCTTAAATAATTTTTTATTATTTTTAATTTGCTAAATGACCTTTCAGCTGCTGCAGAAGTGACAGGAATTGTAAAGAATAATAACATTGCTGTAAATACTTCCGTGAGGCCGCATTCTAGCACTCCATATTTGCTCATTATTTCCTTACATAATTGGCGAACAGTCCATGCTTGAGTTAGTTGAGGTAAAAACAGGTGGTAAATATTAATAAATTGAAGTGAAAAACTAGGGCCTATTATATCTTAATATTTTCTTTGGAATTCGTCACACTTTTGTAATACAGCTGCTTCATCAACGTGTAATAAAAATGTTGGTGTTAGAAAATCGAATATATGACAGACTGCACTCATACCAATAAAACGTGTATCTAATTGAGATATTACTGTGTCTAGTACATTATTGAAAATCTAAATTTTAAATATTTTTTCTCGGTTTGGAAATCGGTGATCAGCAGCTAATTCATCAAAATGTTTTTTAAATTTTCTTTGCCTTTTTTCTTGAAAATGGGTATCAATACCATATTTTCTTGCAGTTTCACTGGCTTTGCACTTGAATAATTCGAAATTATTTCTATAAATTTGCAACTTTGCTTTGGTCTCTGCAAAAACTTTACTCGCCTCGCCCAAATTGATGTCGCATTTTTGTAAAGTTTTGGATGCATAATTGATGTCGTTGTGCATGAATTCGCACTGTGCATGAATTCGCAAAGCAACACGAACTCGAAATTTAGC